ATTAATTATTCTGTTGAAGAGCGTCTCCCGGCACTTTTGTTTTAATTTCATTCTACGTACATCAGTTTTTTTTTATCTCGCGTGCGAGTCAAGTCGCGGCGCATTATTATATCGTATTGTTATATCGCGACTCATTATTATACAGTGAATGATAAGAAAGAAAAAGCATTAATAAACTTTCAGGCTAGTGTAGTGGCCGTAGAAAAAAAGTTTCGATCGAAATACGTTACCAGGCGAAATATCTTTGGCATGTATATATGTATATATATATATATTATCAATTTTAATAAATTTTTAACAGGAAAGATAAAATAAGCTTTAACATAAAAGATAAAATAAGCTTCTCGTTAACAGCGTTATGTATTTTTAATAAATTATAGGAGATTTAAATTAGTTGATGTTTTTTGATCAAAATGACACGGTAAATTTTTAAATGTAATCATCAATCAAATCAAATTTCAATATTTATATAAATTTACAGAATTCAGTAAAGGTTACTGAAGTAAATTCAAAACGCGTTATTAATTTTCCTAGAATGACATTTCCTTTCTAATATATTAACACTAACTATAGTAGTAAAGTCGCCTAATTTATTAAAAACGTTCCATACTTTTTCATTAAAGCATGAAATAACGAAGAAATATGTCCATTAGGGCTTTTCACATACATACACACACGCATCGGAATATTCTTGAATATTTAAATATTTTCTCTATCAACACTCTATGTTATTACATTATTCCACACGTCGCACGCAACCAGCCAGTGCGTTTCGCAGCTGGCGAGTTAGCGAGTCAGCTTAGCGACGCGTATGAATTGTAAAACAATGGTGAATGTTACGGAACGAATGTTAACAAGCATGAAAGCTTAAAGCCGGATAAATTAATCTGCATTACTTCGTACAAACGTGATCGTTATCGAGTTACCGCTACTTTAACTGTCGAAATGGTCTTAATAAGCTTGCGGGTGATCCAATTACGTAGTTTATCCGCGTTTGTTCTAATCACACTCATTACTCGTGAAAATACACCGGTGCGGCATGATAGTGCAATATTTTGGTGTAACGTTGCGCTAAATTATCTGGACAAGCGAAAATCATGAATTCTTTCGCGCGCGATCACGTTTTGTAATAAAAATTCTTTTTAAATATAAAATAAAATAAAAAATATTTAGAATATTTCTCAAAAATAATATTTCACAAATAAATAAATTGTAATTATACAAATAAAATACAAAGTGTGGCAATTTTGTATGCATTACAATTACACGATCGCGGTTGATTAATCTCGGCAAACGAAATAATGATGTCGGGATTGCAACACGCTTTTATTTACCCGACTTTTCCGGCTGGCAGAATATCGGGCGAATATTTATAACCCCGAATCGTTCGAGCAGCAACAAGATCGATCGAGTGCTATTCCTATTACATCGGTGCTCTCCGAATGTTTACCCGGGGCAAACGATTGATTGATCATCGGAGCTAGTTATTTTCAATCGACACGGGACGATATGACTTTTATTCCATCGATAACCACAACGTGATTATTATTTATTCGCGCGATTCTATGAAAATGGCTGTAACAACTAAATCATATGTCGATTCCGTCAATCATTATTTGTTAACTCCGGCTAATGGAATTAATGAAATCCGAAGATCAGAATCTCAATCATAATTCGTAAAAGTAAATCGAGTTTCGATGAAAGCCTGCTCGAAGTTAATCCACGAACAAGAAGTTTTATTTTATTTTGGCTCTCGACTGCTACCAACTTCGAAAACTGTTCTGCTAGTAATTAGCTTTCCATTTAATCTTCACGATAATGTCAACTCATCTCATATTTACCAAGGAATACATTATTCATGTCTCCATTATTAAGCTCTTTATTCAACCATTTGTCTGTAACGTTTATCATATGAACGCATGCAAGTCAATGTTTCGAAATATACAAAAATAATAAAGACACCAGAAAATATTCCGAGCAATGTTTGACACTTGATATGTTACAAATATCTCTCTATTTGACAGGTTTTCCAAGACTTCAATCATAAGTCAAATTGATCGCAGGAGCAGTAATCATGCTATATCTATTGCTCTTTACTTTCTTTTTTAATAATAATATTTGTATTATTAACCATTCTAAGACATAAATAATTTTATAGTAAAAAAGTAAGTTAATATTCCATTTCTATTAATGGGCGTGTATTCTTGCTGGAAAATGCCCATTAATAGAAATAACATAATAAATCATCCTTGTTTAACGTTGGCAAACAATAAGAATATAATAAAGTATAATATAATGAGATTCATTGTATTACACTGTATCCTTGCTGGAAAACTTCCAATATATAGAGACACTTTAATCTCAATTCAATTGTTAGACAAATATATATACACACTTGTACAGTAGGTTGCCAAAATATTAAGGACAATGCGATTTTTCTGTTATTTTTGTTTGCAAGTACTTTTTGGTGAAAATATGGTTTATTAATAAATATGGAAATTTATTTTTATGTTGTTTTACTACATTTATAATGAAAAAGTATCATATTCAAATAGAAAATATTTTTTCATACAAACAATGTGTACAAATTAATTAATTAAACAAATACTAAATTCTTTTTAAGACCGTACAATTGATAAACAATAAACAAATAAGAAGAAGAAAGCCAATAACGGTCAAAGCTAGATCACAAATGCTTATTAAAATGATGTGTGAATTTTATATACTGCTTATGTAGTTACCCAAATCACGTGTCGAAATTTTTTCAGACTTACAACGCAACACTAAACAACTACCGCAGTAATATCACTTTTAGTTAAATTGTGTATCACTTTTAGTTAATTAATTAATATTTTATCACACCGCCCTTCGCCGCAATAAAGGCTCTTTGATGCGATATGGTATGCTATCAATGCATGATTTTAAATTTTCTCTTAATTCAGAAGAGTGCAATACTTGTACCAGTTTCTCAAAAAGTTGGTGCTTAGTTGTTATGACAAATGATGATCGACAGTCAATATTTTGAAAACTGAATGTCATTGTCAGTATTGTCAGCCTTTAGAACTTACAAATAACCAGAATGGGCATTAAAAACAAAAATACTTCACGGAATTTCATTAAGAAGTACTTGCAAACTTAAAATGAATAGAAAAATCGTACTGTCTCTAATATTTTGGCAATCTACTGTAAATATTGTAAAAAATAAAATGTAAATTTTAACTTAAATACGTATAGTGGATTTTCAGAGATATGCAAAATATTAAAATTAACACAAAAATGTTAATTTTAACATTTTTGCATAGGTATCTTAGAAAGTCCACTATATGTATTTAAGTTAAAACTAACATTTTATTTTTGACAGTGTTTAATATGCACACACATACACACGCAAACTCTTTTTAATTCTTAACATTTACGTAATTTTGAAAATTCAAAGTAGTCATATGTACAGGATATCTGTACATTCAATTACAATTCATCAAATATTATATTACTAAATACGGGAAATAACAGTTAATGCAAAAATTTTATATGACCAGGAAATGTAACGAGGCAAGTAATTTCTGCTAATGAACGTTGCAAAATTATTATCTTGTTCAGTTGAACGTATAATGAAATAAATGCTTTATATTCATTGCAAGAAAGTGGCGTCTCCGTATAATCCTTTCTCGCGCAATTATTGCTCGTTATTATAGCGTAAGGAAAATCGCGACGCGAGTGGGGGATCTTGTTTCCTGTGCTGCTTCTCATTTATACGCATCGCTAACGGTGAACATCATTTTGTATAACAACTCTAACGATGCTCAATATTATTTAATATTCCGGGAAAACAAGTGGGCGGTGGACGTGCTGATTTTACGTTGAACGATAGAAGATGCGATCGTATATAACTCCCTTACAACGGTGATTTCCATAATAATAACGCAGACTCTGTATGTGGTGCCATTAGTGTTATTACTGTTATTCAGCGAATTGCAGAAATTCAATAAATCAATAAGCAGTGTGTATAACTTTATCCGAAGAGCCTGGAGCAATAACAGGGTAAATTTGATGGGAGCAAATTTGGCAAGCGAATACTGGGAATGTGCATGAATCATTAATGGTTCAAATGCAAATTCTTCGTATTTTACCAACGTCCGTTAACGCTAACAGTTAAATCCTTCGCAATCCTAACTTAACAAATCAATTTAAAATGGATAGATTGTTAATTTAACATTCGAACAGTTTGAAAAAAGCGGTCACGCGTATATTCTTCCAATTACTATACATATATTATATTACTAGAAGAAAAATTAGGTAAATTGCATAATTATATGAATCGCAATTTGTGTAAAAATACATTTCTTTGATGAGAAAAAAAAAAAATTTTCGTCGAACAAAATAACAAGATCAGTCGGTTTATAATTTATTCAAGAATATCATTAAATAATTGTAGCTGGATGGAAATAGAAATATCATCCCTGTTATACTCTTTTTAGATATCAAACAGAATTGATTGTAATTAAATTTTCTGCATTCGACTGACTCTTGCATGAAAAACACATGATTCGTAATTGCATGTAAATTATCATTTAAAATTAATATTATTTCATTTATCTCTAATTGCGGATCCATTAACTGCGATATGACAATTACATTAAAAGAAGACCAACAATATGTAGAAATGAATATAAAACCAATAGGTAGAAATTTATATATATATATATAGAGAGAGAGAGAGAGAGAGAGAGAGAGAGAGAGAGAATCAATTTATGTAAAAATACGTTTTTCCGATAAAAAGAGAGGATGTCGTTTTATCGATTAATTATAATTGTCAATTAAGAGAGTATTAAAAATCAATGCTTCGTTCGTTAAATCAGTGCTATCATTCTAGGATTAATTTCGCTGCCTAATCCTCTGTAACTAAGAGGGAGCTAAGGAGGTAACAAGAAGGTCGGAGGTCCAAGGTGACGGAGTCCGCCAAGGCAAATGGGCGAATTAAGCTGTAACGAGGTTCTTACCTCCTTCGGTCTCGTGCCAAACGATGCCCTCGAGGGTGACGGAGGTACCGGGCTCGCAGGGCCCCAAACACTCCGGTTCCGTAATGGTCCCCACGCTGGTCCCAACGCACACGTCGGACATGTCCTGCAACACAAAGTTCGACGAACGGTGAGCCGCGACGTAGTCATGTGTCACATGTATGACAGGATCAATAAGTATGGCATTCGTCAAACAAATGTTTCACCCGCGTGAAACAAAGCCGCGTGAAATAATTTAAAATATGAAAATATTGTACCACATGGTGGAAAGAACCCACCATGATATGCACGCACGTAATGATTTTGCTAAAATATAAAAATGTACAATAACTAGATATAGATTTGAAAATAATTTTGTTACAGCATCAAATTAATTATTATAATTATTAGAACGCCTCCCAAGCTGGTTGCTAGAATGTCAAAATCTTTTATAATACATTACTGTCGCGTTCTGGACAACATACGCGAGCGCGACCGCTTCACTTCCCTTTCGAGAATCCCTTTCTGTCAATGTCTTTATCTTATGCGCACATCCTTTCTTTGGGATTCCGTGTTCATCACTCAAAGTCCTTTCGAGAATCAAGAGAATAAAGGGCATGAGAAAAAAAAAACAGAGAAAGAGAGTTCCTTCTTAATTAAATTTATTTAGATCTATCTAGACATTTTCTATTTTTTCTATTTTTATTATTCTTAGGAGTGGCCGGGCCTTGCGGGGACCGTCGCAAACCTTCGCCGAGCGCGTGAGTATTCGCACGGGTGCGACGCACAAAGGCGGAGGCGGAAGGGTGCGCGACGTCCCGCCGCGCCGTCCACGAGAGGCTCGTTGTGAGCTGGTTGGGTGGCGTCTGCGTCGACGGTTCGGGGGTCGGTTCCCCGAATATCGAAGGGTCAAAGTCCCCGGACGATTTTAATTGTTTTAGCAGGCGTCTCGCCTGGAGATTACAGCCTCCTTGCTGAGAGCTGCGCGGCTCGCCCTGCGGGGGACTCGTGGAAATGCATATTTTTAATTTGGAAAAGAAAGAAAAGGAAAAGAGAGAGAAAAAATGTCTCAGAACTGAGTGCGAGAATGTAAGGGTGGGACAAGGGGTTCAACGGCACCAGCTCAATATAAACGCTGAGTCCTGGGGGAGATGGAAGATGGGCTCGATGGCATCAGCTTGATGTGGGCGCTGAGTCCTTGGATACTGAGTGATAGGGAGAGAGATGTTGCACTCGATCCTAAAGACTCTTATAACAAATATCCGACCGCGGAGAAAAGAAAGAAGAAAAAAGTTTCAGGAGGAAATTACTACATTTAATGAGATTCTTTTAATTATTAGTACAACTTTGTGAAAACGCGGAATCGCATCAAGAAGGACGGTCGCAAAGAGCAAAATCATTCACTCCATGTAAACTTGTTAGTTTAATATATAAGTAATAACTATTTTAACATTTTTTGGCCACGATTAAAAAACTAATTTCTCCCTGATGATGTATTTATTTTAAAAAGTATTTTAATGACAACAAGGAGGACGGGAGGTGCTGCTGTATACGTTAACTCTGTAATGTAAACGTAGGAGACAGACAATGTATACTGTTCGTAATTAGATTGAGATAGTCTTGTATGTCCAGGGACTTGTCATTCTAACTACGAAGCGGTTCCCGTGACGCCCGGGGACCTGCATTCTAACTACGACACTAGAATGGATCAAGAGCGATAGCATGACTGAGCGATGAGGATGCTAACTAACGATCCGTTAGATCCATAAACTCTCATGGCGAATGCATGAAATTAATGTCTAATAAACGCTTGTTTCGAGAGACCGCTCGAATATTTTCGCGACTCCGTTGCCACGTACATTTAATTCAATTCATTCACTCACAGTTATGTCACGCGACATAAAATCCGACGCGTATGTGGTATCTTTCGACGTGAAAATATATATTTTTCAGTCCATACATTTACGCTGTATTCTGGCTGGTTGTAATACACAGTGCATGACCGTTTCGCGCCGACATGACATTGCATGACGATTTCGACAAGGTGTTAACGAGTCATCGTACGATATACCTCTCGGGCTTTTCAAAAATATCGGGTCGGGCAGTCGCACGAAATACCGGCGTTGCTGTACGTAGCGACGAGAGAGAGTATCGCTTCGCCGTTCATTTCGGAAATCGATGTAATCCCGGTTGCTGGACGCGCGCGCGCGCGGGAAATGCATCCCGGGCCGGCGGCCGAGTAGCCTCGAGGCGCGACGAAACGCAGCCGAGGATATAAAAGCAATTGGAGGAGGCCCCAATTAACGTCGGTCGTACACTCTCGTCGTGTCGCCCACTCGCTGTTTATGGAAATATCGGCCGGCCGATATTTCGCCGAACTAGGGAAACGCACGGTCGGAAACGCGGTTCTGCCGTCGGCACGTTTACACCGGCTTGCAAATAGAAACGCGACCCGGCAAAAGCGCCGAGGTTGATTTTCGCGTAACGTTTCCGCACACACCTACCGTGTCGCGCCGCTGGAAATTGACGAACACGTCATTTCCCCGTACGGATATACAGCACACAATTCTGATTTACGCCCGCGGGACAGATCGTATTTTACAGGATCTCAACCGCGTGATAAAATTTCCTCTGCCCTCCCTCACAATTGTTTTATTGCAAATATTTTTATTCGCATTAAAATATGTTTGCCTCCTATTTTCACCAGCATTAAAAAGCATATTTATACTACGCAAGATAAATACGTCTTATTATCGCGATGCAACAATATAAATAAATTCATCCAGATATAACTCTTTTTATTGTTACCATTACTATCATTATCGATGGAGTACCGCTATTTTATATTTAGCGATTATTATTATACGCGCTGTTATTATTTACCGCTTTTATTATTATATGCCATACATTTTCATACATATAGCACGCACTTAAATATATAAATATGGCATAATATGGAAACGCAGCCGTGAGTAGGTTTGTTGCGGGTTTAAAAGCAATTAGCGAGATGTCTGCTGAATGAATGCGCTCCGCTGGTCGCGGTAATTTTCGCGGCTCGATGCAAACAAATTTCCATTTCGGAAAACAAAATCGCCGCGCGGTCGGGGCTTTGAGAGCAATTAGTGATGCCGCGCATAATTAACGCGCTAATTAGCAGCGCAATTTTGGGTAACGCAAGCGTAACTTTTTCGCGTGTCGGAGTATCGACACCGCGGCGTTGCTGCAAATTTTTCATTTATTCACCCTGCGGGATTTAAATGTCACCGATATACCCGTCGTTCGATATTAATATCTGTTTTCGCGGAACGGATTTTCAAACGACATACAAAGCCATATGTCCGCTCGATAAATCCGTTATAAATCCCCAGGAGCATTCTCGCTATAACACAATTCCTCGTAGGCATAAAATCGACAGTAGTATTCGATTACTTGAACCATCGGTCGGCTAGAAACAACGAAATTACTTATTTTATTTCCAATGTTATATTTAATGTATACCATCGAAAGTTATATCGATCCACGCGTGAATCGACCTTTAGATAGCTTCAATATCTACATGCATGCTGTATATTAATCCAGACGAATTTATCGGCGTTATCGCTTCGGCGGCGTTTCGCTGTGGAATAAAATTTGCGCCGGAAACGCGTTTACAGACGAGTTGGCTGAATGCGTCGAAACGCATTAATGTGGATAATCGAGAAGATGAGTGACAGCGTGCGCGAACGGATCTGCAGCATGCACGTACAAAATATTCGTGATTCGTTGCATTTCTCTTCATCTTTTTGATAAATTTGAAATGCACTTAACGGTAGAATGGAGTTGATTAACAATTTTTAAAGCTGAACACACACACACCCACACACACACATACACGAGACTTGTACTAAAACAAGAAATAACAGAGGAGAAGGTGGTATTATATGATATTTAGTGCAGGTAGGTAGATAGGTAGGTATAATGGCCCCTCTAATATTCCTGCTATTAGGTGGTTTTTATATTAAATTCTAGTGATTACTTATGAAATTATTTGCTCAGTAACTCGCCGTTAATATACCAATGTACACTAGCCAGCATTTATTATAATGCATTTTTACTTTCAAACATTTAAAAATATTTTAGCACTTAATTATCATACACACATACTTCCTCATTCTTCTTAAACTTGAGCGTATATGTGTACATTTGAATCTTGTTTGTTATTCAATATTTTATTTGGGAGTAACATTTCGAATTATACAAAGTTAAATATATACAATAATAGCATGACATTTTAAAATTAGTAATTTTATTAGTTTTTTTTTATAAATTAGTAATTTCAAATTAGTAATAAACAGTTGAGATCACAGCTTATGTAATAGATTTGATATTAAAATAAAAATTTTTTAATTTTTAATAAACAGACTATTAGGCCAGCAGTCCTTTATTTGATTTTTATCGAGTTGAGTCTTGTTCCATATAGTTATGTTAAAATAATTATTCCATAAATTGATTTACTATTTATCTACTGAGTATCTTCAAAATTCTTTGGAGTAGAATCTCAACTATTCTAAACAGTGAAAATTGTCAGTTTTGAAAATGAGCTCAATTTTTAAGAATGACAATTCACTTTAAAAGTTTTAGAGAATATGTTATACGTACTATAGATTTTTAGTATAGCCTATATACATTCAGTAATATTCTATTTTTTTGTTAATTTTGTAATCAAATACGTACTATTTATTTTTAAACGAGAGCAAGTTTTTTAAATCAATTTTTATAAAAAGTCATTTTATTATATAGTACTAATACATAATAGTAGTATACATAGTACTAACAAAAAAATACACAATATTAATACATAGTACCTGGTTCTCTTCAAATCATTATGCAATGTCGCTACATTTTTATAAATAATATCCTAAGTAATAAATGATTCATAACTTTGAGTCTTGAATCGACTGAACAATACTTTGCGCGCGCGCGACGAATAAAATTGTTAAATTTTAAACTTAAATACCAGTTATTAATACAAGCTTTTATGTAAAATGCAAAAAGAGAGAGAGAGAGTGCCAAAATCATCTCTTCCTCTAAAGTATTTCATTATCATTAGAAAATTAAAATCCTTTCTTTTTAATGAACTGTATTTTC